CATGCAGTCCGAAGTTCTTTCATTTGCTTTATTTAGCTTTAGATACCACATGAAATACCACATGAAATGAAAAGGCCTTTAGCGTATGAGGCTAATGTGTATGTCTGTATAAAAGTTGATTCTGTGTTGACAGCTGTTATAAATTCACTGTAAACCAGGGCTTCTTGGGGCTTATTGCTTTAATAAACTAAAGGACACATTTTTATGTATATGATGTAGAGTTAGACCTGTGCATGTCTATATGTTCATGGCTTTGCTTTCTCTGTAAACTGGTAATTGGCATTATTTAATTCTGGCTCGTGTATTGTTTTCTTTTATCGGTACGACTATCTCTGTCTGCCTCGGGGCAACTTTACTTCGGATGCGATAGTGACACCGCACAGGAGAGCGCGCAAGCCTGAGAGACAAAAACCTGTTCCAACTCTTCCCTCAGAACCAGAGCAGAACACAAGCACCTGTCCTCACCCTTCTCCTCCTCTCTGCCTTCATCTGTGTGTGTGCGCGCGGGAGAGAGGAGGAGATAGAGCGCACATCATTTATCACTTGTGTTCTCGTCCAAAAATGTCGCTTTTGTGGGGTGACTTTCAACCGCGCTAACCTTGCCCCAAATTGCTAACTGTAACAGTTTACTTTTTCTTTCCAACATGTCATTGATTTTCCTCGCCTAATATCTATTCCTCGCCATTAACACAAAGAGAAACGCTGCGCGCCGCGAGCAGACCCTCAAACCCTCCAGCCGGAGAGCTCTCGAGGGCCGCTGGGGCCCCGCAAAGGGTCTTGGTTTAATTAAACCATCACAAACGCGCTTAGAACAGCAATCAACCTAATGATCAAAAAGGGTCCTCAAAGCCCATGGATGGTCCCCTTTGCACATATCTGAAGGAGGAGCTTGCGAATAAACAAACAAAAATGAAGATTAAAAATACGAGGCTCGAAAAGCCAAGCGCTTGCCGTTTGAGGCCTGATCCCTGACTTGGAACGAGGTAAAGCGATCGTTTCGTTTGTTGTGGCTTATTTACCAGCACGCTTATCTCAAAGGGTGAAACAATGGCGCACATTTCTATCAGAAATCATTACAGGCCATTTCAAATCATTTCCGCGCAGCTAATTTCATAATAGCGGAGGGAAACATTGATTGTAACCAGATGCTACATATCTACTCTGTGGAAAACTGGACAGAGCAATTACGGAGCGCAAGTCTCGGCCTACCCATGCTTCTTCTCGCACACACAAACGTACACTAAGTGCTTCTATAGCCAAAGTGCTTCACATCAGCTCAAGCCAAATACATTAGCACACTATCATACAACACGTATAGACTTGACACTGGACTAGACTTTATGTGTACAATGAAGTGATTTCAGAAACAAACACCAATGAGAAACACACTGGTACCTGCATAGCATACTGTCAGGTCTGTTATGTTTGTTGGTGAATTAGTCAAATTTAAATCCAGATTATGGACTTATATTTCATCCTAATCAAGGTGTAAATGAAACATTCTAGCCAACAAGAAGTCAAATTACTAACACTTTCTTAGTTTGAATGGCTCCAAATTGTCCTCCTAAACATTAGCCTCTCAGCTCTGGTCGCTTGGTTTCTGCTCACAAAATAATTTGGGATTCAGTTAACAGTAATAATAGGCCATATCTAATGTCACTGATGTGTGGAAAAGCATTCCGTTTCGCATTCCCGCTGCATGGCTTGGTCACACTTTTCTCAAAGGCCTGTGAGAATCAGTGGCCTGATTGTAAGATTGATGTTAGTGTGTGCTAAATGCTTCGCACATGAACCAAAACCACACAGAATAATATCAGAATTTCCTTTTGCTCTTTAATGGAAGAAAGGAGAGACCCTGCCTGCAGTGAGAGCAGCTCCTGTTGGCATTCAACCAGCCCTGAGTGAAAGAGCGGAAGAGAGGTAAAGAGAACGAGTGATTTATGGAGAGCTAGAGAGGGGGTTCACTCGCTAAAGTCCCATTGAAACACAGTGCTCCTGGCCCCGGGCTTCACCATTCATCACCACGTACCACCACGTCACTTTGTTTATCATCACCGACACACACACAGAGGCCAAACAGTGTTTAAAATTCAATGGCCCTTTCGTGAGGACTCGGGGAAAATGGGCCCCGAGTAATCTACGTTTGTGAGTCCCTGATCTTTTTAACTTTAGGTTGTTAACTTTAGATTTGAGGTTGCGAAGAATTAAAAAACTAAATGTTCACAGACGAAATCCAGTCTTTTAAATAAAATCCATGTGCTTGGGACTTTTGCGTGAAGGCGGACAATTTGGATGCGTGGATTTCACATCAGGTTCAAGCGTTCAACAGAAAACTGATCGGTTTAAAAATGACTTGTTTGTGAGATGTGCCTCGTGTATTGTTACACTGTTGACAAAAGACAATGGATCTCACCCAAATTTTGCTAATATGACCACCATACTTTTACTTTAGCTACCAAAATAAAGGGATATTACACAAAAATGTTAGGAATTAAACTGTACTTTATAAAACATTCCCTCACCATTTATTCTACAAATGGAAAATGATGCTGCTTTGTGAAGACATACGTGTTATTCTTTTTCTGAGTGACTAGACTTTCACCTGTCAGGGCAATTAAAAATGTGAAAAATCCCATAGACCATATGTAGGGGCCAGAATATCATAGAGACTTCAGCCAATAAGCAACATCCTAGCAACTGCACAGCAACATCCTGGCAACCGCCCAGAACACCCAAGCATCGTGGTGGCGAGTTTTGCTCATGCAAACATCACTCACACTTTCTGCAGAAAATATAAAAATGAGCTTTTCTGATATGAGAGTTCAACATCTTCTGTCCGTTCTGGGTCAGATATGTCATTCTAATACATTAAACTGAAAAAATGCAAAAATAAAGATGATTAGGTACTTAGAGAAGGAAGATACAAAAGGAAGGGGAAAGAATTACTGGTCAATGAAAAGACACACTAAAAAGAACAGAAGAGAATTCATAGCAGCATGTAATACAATTGGACAGCACATTGCAGAAGTAAACTAGAGCAGACATATTTGATATAATCATGGCCAAACTTTACGAAGTCAATCCTCTCAGGTGTTCAGAGCGGCCCGCTGCTGTGTGTATGTAGGTTAAACTGACGCTCAGATTGGATAAAGTAGCGCAGAAGTCGTGAGTTTGGACTTTCCTGGAATGAGCAGGAGAGATGTAAGTGTCATTGTGTGAGAGAGTATGCGGTCAGTGACCTAAATTTCCTGGGTCCTGCATTGTGTTCTCAACCCTGCATTAAATGCGGCATGCTGCACTTTTAAAAACAAGAGCAGTTTGCGGTGTTCACGCATTTGTGTGTGTGCGTTTAGGGTGGATTCTTTTCCAGACGCATTAATAAAATATGGTCGGAGGCCAGGTGCACACTGAATCTCTTTAAGAGAGCCTCGGGGCATCTTCGCATCGTCTCCTCCCAGCAGCCCTGTGTGTGATGTGCGTTAGGGGCCGCAACCTGCTGTACCAACACACACAAGTTACGCTCCAGAAACGGTGCCACACACCACAACATTCGAGATTTTCACACACAAACCTGCGTATCATTGCGTCATAGAAAAAGAAAAAGAAAATTCTTATAATGATGAATTACGCACTTAGCTGCTCTAACAGCTCTCTTACACTCATCTACTCACACAGGCCGTAAATATGAACTTCATCCATGTTCAGTTAAGCTCCTAATTAAGTCATTAATTAAAAGAGAAGTATTGTGATGCTGATATATTGCCAGTCTAAACCAACGGGGTCTAAATTTCACTAACAAGCATCAGTCCGCATTAAAATGTTATGCGTGATGTCAATACACTCGTCAGTGCTAAACCAGCATCGTCTAGGAGACGGCTGCATTTACTACATTGTTCCTGAGACGATGTTGAAAATGTGCTCTACATCTCACATCTGAGTGGTGTGTCTTACACATGGGTTTTTGTATTGTTACTACAACAAAATAATAATTATGGGATTATTTGTTTTTATGGGCACAGGAAACTTCCGAATTTGAGATATATAAGATAAAATACCTATGTATTCAGTTTCATTTTGAAAACCCACAGTTTATAAGGCCACCCGAAGTGACTGTTATGTACATATGGTTTCAGTTGTTTCTATATTTTTCTGTAAATGTAGATCAAATTTACGTAAAAAACCCATTATTGGTGAATCACAATTTGTTAGTAAAATAAAAGCATTTTCACTTTCAATGAGGAAAGAGATATTTTTTGTGACCCTAGAGCACAAAAATTAAGTCGCTGGGGTATATTTGTAGCAATAGCCAAAAATACATTGTATGGGTCAAAATTATTGATTTTCCTTTCATGCCAAAAATCATTAGGATATTAATTGAAGATCACGTTCCATGAAGATATTTTGTACATTTCCTACTGTAAATATATTAAAGCTTAATATTTGATTAGTAATATGCATTGCTAAGAACTTCATTTGGACAACTTTAAAGGCGATTTTCTCAATATATTGATTTTTTGGCACCCTCAGATTCCAGATTTTCAAATAGTTGTATCTCGGTCAATTATTGTCCTATCCTAACAAACCATAACCATCAATGGAAAGCATATTTATTCAGCTTTCAGACCAAGTATAAATCTCAATTTCGAAAAATTGATCCTTACGACTGGTTTTGTGGTCCAGGGTCACATGTGACAATGGAAATTTGCATTACACCTGGTTAGGATACAGTGTTCATTTACTGCTGTATTGCAAAATGTCACAGGTGAAATCCAGTCATTTCAGTCGATCGGGAATTTCGCAAAAAGATGAAAAATTCCCTCCTCCACATTTTACATGAGGTTTTTTTTTTCCCCACAAATTTGTTGCGTTGTCTGACAAAGGTGCTTGATGCATTGCTATACTATTGACAAATAAGCTTTTTAGCAAACAAAATGTATTTTTTAATGTGACTGTACTTATGTGGTGTAGACAGTGTTTTAGTGTGCTGTTGAGGAACTAACCTTTCTCTTTAAGGATTTTCTTCATATTGATGCCGGTGTCTCGTTCTGGCAGTTCTCCATCGGTTGGGTTCAAAACTGCACACATAAAGAGAAAGCATGCATCCAGTTGTCCCAGAAGTGATGTAATTCTGATAGGGATGTAATTGCCAACCATTGGGAGCATTTTGTCATTTGTAAATCTAATATCTTTGTTTTATTATGCCTTTTTCATTCTTTTGTGGGTGGCTTAGTCTGTAGTCATTATAATTGGCTTTATAGAAAACAATCAGTCTATGAGGGGTTTTAGACATATTTAAGTTAAATGTGTATAGTATTGTGTGTCTGTACTGACCCAGGCGTTCATGACTCTGTGTGTGTGGGTTTGGGGAGCTGGACACACTACTGCTGGGGTGGGAAGAGGGCTGTGATCCTGGACGAGGGGTTTCCTCCAGAGACGGAGCAGGAGACGGACTGTCCTGTACACACTCCTGACGCACACACACACACAAAGATTCAGTTCACATATTCTTTACAAATGACTCCAACAGGCCTGCCATTTTAAATGAACAAAACTAAAACCAAAACCATTAAAAAAAACAAAAAACTGTTGCTTGAAAAAAAAAAAAAGTAAATGTTAACTGAAATAAAATATAAAAACTCACTTATTTTATTTCTCGTTTTGGTTTAAGATGAAGTACTAAAATAACTAATATACTAATAAACTAAAACTAATTAAAAAAAAGTAATATAATATAGACATATTTTAAAAATGACAAAAACACAACAAAATTACTAAAACTATAAACCTATAGTGAAAACAGACTCTATAGAAATAGAATCTAATTTAAAATATTAACAGAAACTTTAATAGTATATCAATGATACTAAAATAACACTGTTATGATAATGCAAGTGATTTAAGATTTCCATCAACACTGCGTTTTCCACAAAAAACTCACAAATAAAATCTCTTGAATAATATCTCTTAAATATTTCTTCTAGACAGCAATTTCTCATCACATTCTTCCAAAACTAAATTTTCATTCATTCTCTACAGTAATTTCCTCATTGCGTCTATTTATTTTTCCAAAAGATTTTTAGGAGAAACATCCGGGACAAAGTTGATTCTTAAATGAAACATAACTAAGAAGTAGTAATTAAATCTCCAGAGGTATCAACCAAACTCAAACACATTCTGTATGTTATACAGTGGGTACGGAAAGTATTCAGACCCCCTTAAATTTTTCACTCACCCAGACGGAAGCTATTGCTATTTTAAGTGCGTTTGTGTGTGGCGGTGAATTTCCATGTAAAAGTGTGTGTGTACTGTACGCCTCGGGCCGTTTCTGCATCTCGGAGAAACACACAAGTGTCCTCCTCCAACTGTAAATTGACTCACACACTCTCCTCTCAGGGGGAACATGGCAGTAAGATAACAGATAGTGTTTGTCTTTAAAGTCTGCATCTAATATTCCTTAACACGCGCTCCGCACGGACCCAACACAACATTTATTCTGTTATTCCTCCTCGGAGTATTTCAAATCAAACTCTCTCCTGTAGAAATTAAGATGGTTTGGTATATAGCTCTCTCCCAGGCGTTAAATGGCTCGTAGAGCAAGACCGGCTCGTATCTAACGTATCATCGGAGCGAGACACCAATCCGAGGGGATCTGCAGTTCTCTGACTGATGCGCTGTGCACGCGGTGAAAATGAGCTGACTCTAGCTGAGAGATCTGAGCGCACATTAGAGCCCTAATGAATGACTTCTCTGTGTTTGGCCGCTGAAGTCTCAACTTTGTGGCTGCGTGCGTTACCTTGATGACGGACGCTCCTGCTCTGGACAGGGGGCTGTGCATCTGAGCAGCTGCGGCCATGTTGGCGATAGTGTTCAGGTGGTTCATCTGGTTCATCGCCATGGCAACGGAGGCAGGCGGCAGACTGACGGGCAGCAGGGGGTGGGGCATCATCATAAACGGCAGGGCCAGCCCTGAAAGACCACAACAGAGACAGGGAGAGACTGTTTATATGAAACTTAGTTGGTAAACAGTGACAGCGATGCACTAATCACTTCTGTTGACCTCACTTCAAATATGCTAATTTGGTGCTCAAACATTTTTTTTAACTGTATAAATTAATGTTGAATATTTTGGTGAAAACAGTGATACAAATTTTTTTTCAGAATTCTTTGAATAGAAAGTTTAAAGGGGTCCTATTATGCTTTTTTACAAAGTCTTGATTTTGTCGGACCGAACAGTAAGCGGTGCCCCTTCTCTTCGTTTTTGTTTCCTTTTTTGAAAGTGTTTTGTTTTCTGTTTTTCCCCTCCACGATCATGGAAATCGCTGTGAGATCGCCGCCCTAGCCCGCAGAGATCTTCCGTTTGTGGAGTACGCCAGGGAGTTCTGTGGGCTTGCCGTTAAGACGGCGTTGGATGACGCCACATTGAATTCTCTGTTCTGGATTGGGGCCAACTACCATCGCCCCGTCGACCTCCCAGACACCACTGGACTGTGCTGGAGGGAAGGTATCCTCCGGTGTCTGGAGAGTGTCCGGCCCCGATTCAGAACCAGCCCACCGTGCCCTAGCCCGCAGAGATCTTCCATTTGTGGAGTACGCCAGGGAGTTCTGTGGGCTTGCCGTTAAGACGGCGTTGGATGACGCCACATTGAATTCTCTGTTCTGGATTGGGGCCAACTACCATCGCCCCGTCCACCTCCCAGACACCACGGGACTAAGCTGGAGGGAAGGGATCCTCCGATGTCTGGAGAGCGTCCGGCCCCGATCCAGAACTGCTCCATCGTCAAGCCCGCCGGCTGTTCCACTGTCAGGCCCGCCGGCCAATTCACTTCCAAGCCCAAGGATGACAGCAGTATTCTCCTCCACCTCTGCCCAAAAGAGAAGGATGCGGAGGAAGTGACTGTGGGCTCCAGCCCCTGAGTCCGCTACAGTGTCGGCTCCAGCCCCTGAGTCCGCTCCAGTGTCGGCTCCAGCCCCTGAGTCCGCTCCAGTGTTGGCTCCTGCCCCTGAGTCTGCTCCGGTGTCGGCTCCAGCCCGAGTCTGCCCCGGTGTCGGCTCCCGTTCCCACGTCCAGCCCAAGGAGGGCTCTAGTTCCCAGGTTAAGCCCAGGGAGTGCTCCTGTTCCCACGTCCAGCCCAGGGAGGGCTCCTGTTCCCACGTCCAACCCAGGGAGGGTTCCCGTCCCCACGTCCAGCCTGAAGAGGGCTCCCATTCCCAGAGAGTTCCCCTGTTTCTGAGTCAAGCCCAGGGAGGGCCCCAGTTCCCTAGTCAAGCCCAGGGAGGGTCGCTGCTCCTATGTCAGGCCACGGAGGGCCTCAGAACCCGAAATTTTGCCCAAGTAATTTTTTTTCCCACCACGGCCTCCTGAATTGTCTGCTCCGCCATGGCCTCCTTAACTGGCTGCTCCTCCATGGCCCCCTGAACTTTCTGCTCCGCAATGGCCCCCTGAACTGTCTGCTCCGCCATGGCTCCCTAGTCTGCCTGCTCCGCCATGGCTCCCCGAGCTGCCTGCCCTGCCATGGCTCCCTGAACTGTCAGATCCGCCATGGGTCCCGGAAAGGGTACTGCTCTGGAGGCCGGCCGTCCCATGTAAGCCTGTCCCTAGAGCACCTGCCCCCCTTCCCCAGTGGAACTGTTATGGCGTTACAGTAATGTCACGCCCATGGACTGTTTTGTGTTTGTTTTCCTCCCCCACGTGCTCAGTGACCTAGTTTCTCCCTTGTCTGATTAGTTATTTGGTTCAGGTGTGTCTAGTTTATTCTCTTGTTAAGTCTAGGATTTATAGTGTAGTCTGTTCTGTGATTCCTTTGTCCGGTGTCGTCCATGCAATGTGCTATGTGTGTGTTCCTGTCTGCCTTGTGTTATCCCTGGTTTTGAATAATTAAAGACTGTTGTTCGTCAATCTCCTGCGTCTCCGCATTCCTTCTCTCCCCACAGTAGCAATTTGTGACATATTTATTGTATTGTGACATTATTTTATGACACATTTACTCATTACTTTAATGTGTCTGAATGTTTTAATTTTGAGCTCGTTTAATTTGACAACATTACTGTAATAATTTTTTTTTTAAATTAAATTAGCAGAAATTCAAGTTGGAACAATATATACTATCACGATGTGCATATAAATACTTTTTAAATAAATATTTTAAATATTTGCAAAAAATCATCCTAAAATAGACTAAGAGAACAGTTGTAAGAAAACATGTATGGGGTGTTTTAAATTGATATTACAATGAGTGCGAGATAGAAAATGAAAGGGCGGCGGGTATTCGGATATGACGCAGTCCAGATTCGAACCCCGTGTTCCCACCAGTCTGACCGCCTCCACCCCTACAGACAAAACTCCTGCACAAAATCCCATCTCTTCCCAGGCCATAAAAGAGTTAACCCCTCTGCCAATCACTCCGAGCTCATCCCAAAACACATGACATCTGGGAATTAATCACTGGAATGAAATGCAGCAGAAAAGCTCGTCGCGAAGTGCCATAAAACAACTTAAGTTGAATTAGTTGAGAGAGGAGGGAGAAGGAATGCAAAGCAGAGGAGAGGAAATCATTGTCTAATTCTGCCTAATAAGCAACGGAGGTCCTACGAGTGATCCAGCAGATGGTGTTTTTGCAACAGATTGCAGTGAGTGATTCTTTTAATAATAATACGAATTAAAATCTCTCTCTGTAGAACGCGGGGGCGCCGTTCATCAGGGAGCCATTTGAATGAGCAGGAAAAAACAGCCTGATAAAGTAATAGCTGTGCCCAAACACCTGAGGCCGAGCGGAGAGCGTGTGTACATGCGTGTTTGTGTGTGAGATGAGCGGGCCGGAGGGCTGATGAAACACAAAACGATGAGGGAACAATGACATTTGATATCAATACTCCATAAGCAATACGCGCCCTGTGTAATGAAGTCGTAATAGGATGTAAACTGCTTTAGAATGAATTCTGAATCCATTTGTGAGGCCCATCAGCGCGTAATGATGCATAGATATCACTGTAATCAGTTTTACTATCCCTTCAACATCAAACTCAATGTTACAACAAAAAACAGAATGTTATTTTTTTTCTTTCGAAAATTGCTTTATAATCTCCTCCTGAAATCGGATTCATGTTTAATGAATACCCCTTCTCATATGTTGATATTCAGATAACAGAATGAAGACAAGTTATATTTCAAGTAATAGAGTAATATATTGAAAAAGAACAACAGATACCCAGAAAAGGTGAGAGGTTTTCAGGTCTGGTCTGAAATGTCATGATGGTGAGCAGATCATGACACAATTTTTATTTTTGAGTGAACTATCTCTCTTTAAGAGAGATGTAGATGAAGAGGGACAGAGAGGAAAAGTGTCTGCATTGCTAATTCCACATGACCTATATTTGCTCTTGTCTAATATAATTAATTTCTGAACATACAAGCTGAGCTCTGAGGTCCCGTAGTGTAGGTGCTAAATAGCCAACGGGTGTTTCTGGCCATTTTTAGCCCTGTGAACTTTAATAAACTCTCTTAAAACATACTTCTTATTTTCATCTGTCTACCAACCAAGAGCAGATATACATATATCATTGGAGAGTGTTGTAATTTTGTGTCAAAGTCATGAACATTTTCATCACATCTGAAATGTGTTGTGTTTAATAACTAAAAATAATAATAATAAAGAAAATGGCATTCTAAACGTTTTTGGAAAATGGCTGACTTGTTTGTCTTTCATAGCTAGCATTTCCTTGTCAATTACTTGATTAATTATAAATAAATAAATCTAAAATTGTTTATATACACTATCATTCAAAAGGTGGCGTCAGTAAGAGTTTTTACAATTATTTTTATTCAGAAAGGACACTTTAAATTGATGACAAAGACATTTGAAAAGATTTTTATTTCCTAAAAAACAAAGTATAACAATTTCCATAAAATATAAAGTATCAAAACTGGTTTCCGCATTGATAATAAGAAGAAATGTTTCATGAGCAGTAAATCAGCATATTATAATGATTTCTGAAGGATCATGTGACACTGAAATTCAGCTTTTCATCACAGGACTAAATTACATTTCAAAATATACTAAACTAGAAAACATTTTAAATTCTAAAATTATTTCACAATATTATGGCTTTGAGGTTTTTTTATTATTATTAATTAAAATTCAACCTATGGGAAATGTACCTTCAATTGAAGAAACTTCCGCATGCACATGTATGCATGAGTTTGTCTTCCTCTACATCATTAAACAGGCTTCGTAATAATCACAATGAGCACATCTCCACACTTCTAAAGCGGCATATCTCATATAAGCTCCCATAACTCAATTCTGTGACCTCTGTAACAGGCTAACTGCAGTAGAAGACTTTGCAAGCATGTGTGTGTGTGTGTGTGTGAGAGAGAGAGAGTGAGCATGCAGTATATTAGAGCGAGTGTGGAGTTAAACTATCCACAGCTCTGGTGCTGATGGCCCATTTGGGTTCGGTCCAAGAGCTCCTCCAGTGTTGGCTGCTAAAGTAATTAGCCTAAAAGTGATGCCAGCCAGTAGAGCTAGAGGAAGAGCAAGCAAGCACGAGAGATGGAGAGTGTCTGTGTTTCGGCATCCCGTCCAGCCGTCAGTCATGCTTTGAGAATGTGTCCATCACCACGATGCTCCTTAACCACACGCTGACAGAGCTGGTTAACTGCATCCCTTTTGAAAAAGTCTGCTGTAATTGCGACACGCATCTGTGGGCACGTGCGCAGAAACGCTGTTCTCCGCTCCCCGATTTGAAACTCAAACTGATAAACATTGAGACTTGGGAATTTGTGTCAACTAATACGCCTATCAAGCATTTATATCTAAATCATTAACATCTCAGTGTTTTCTATGATCAACCTCACCCCGGATACAGTCTTCCATCTGACTCACACTCACAGTCACACGCTCTCTGCCATTATTTACAGTTCATTCCAGGTATCTGATCACTATGTGTGCTCCTGGGAACCTCGGGTG